TCTCCCAGAGCCTGCTGCAGCTCCTCAACAATGAGCCCCCTGCAAGAGCAGGTACCCAGCCTAGAGCTCAACAGAACCCTGCCAGCAGCAGGGACAAAACAGCCCCTGGGACCGGAATGAATTATGCACAGCCTGAAGTATTTGCAGGATAGAGGCCTTAGCTCACTGGGTTAAAATACCAGAGCAATATAAAACACCTCTACCTCTGGAACCCACTGCACTTCATAAAAATGCCTGGGACCCTGCTGGAGCTAAGCCATTGTCGATGGCCATAAAAAATTGGTTAATAAATCTTCTTCCACTGATGAAATAGCTACTTCACAGCCAGAACTCAACAAATTGAGCATTTCAAAGCAACCTGCTTGACACAAGCCCTGATTTGCACACCAATACAAGCATCCCCAGCCTGGGCAGGACCCTGAGCCTGTTCTGTTCCTCCCTCCCTATTGTCACAGCCAAGTGCCAGGAGGAGATTTAGTGCATCAATATTTTCCTCCCGAGCGATAAGAAGGGGATTTACATCTGCAACCCGCAGACCTTTGGGGTGAAAAAGTCTCAAAAGCAGAGACTGGCCTGGCACTAAGCAGGCTCACTGCCACACTGCTACACCACTGCCATTGCCAGGGTGACAGTCCCCTGCCCCTCCCCGAGCCTCTCCCACACAGATGCTAGTTCATCACAGTGCCTACTTCAGTTCATCATAGTGTCCACCTTTTTTTTTTTTGCTTGGAAAACAGGTAAAAATTAATGTTCAGAGAAAGGCAACCTTGCTGCTCCACAGACACTGTCCTGAAATTTTTATCTAATGGGTAAAAAAGCAATTACAGGAGAGGCTCCATTCTTAACATGCTGTCACAACTCACTATTTTTTAAATACAGCCTATAGCCAAGGGCAGTGAAACAATACATTCCACTGAAACAATACATTTCACTCAAATAATACATTTCACTCAAACAATACATTTTCCCAACTGCAGAGCCGTTGATCTGTTTAAGTAGCGTGATAACTAGAAAGAGGAAAATACTCTAACATTTTAGTTTTAATAAAAAACTTCTTTAAAAATTGAGTCACCCCATATTCATGCCAGTGGGGGTTTTCATGAAGTCAGGGCTGACTTGTTCTCTTCCTTTCTGCCTACAGGGAAAAGAGCAGGGCTCGGCTGGGAGGCAGGACCTGCTCCCAAGGCAGAAATATTTATTCAGTGAAAACTTGCATTTAAATATTGATGTTTCAACAGAACTTACTATTTGCTTAACCAAATGTAATAGATTTGCCTAGACAATCACAATGGGAAATTTTTAGGCCCTTTTAGCAACACTGAACGATTTAGAAACATGATGAGCAAATCCTAAATTTTTCAAATCCATGTGATTTGTGGCTCAGATTTCATGATAAATTGTTAGGATTTGGGTTTGCAAGACAGGTGTTTGGCATTTCTAACTCCCGGCTCCCTTTAGGAGACATCAAACCAAGCATTAAACTCCTGCGGTCTTGAAAGTTCAAGTCAAGGTGGTTTTTGTTTTGCTTTTCCCCCTGAAGGTCAGCTCAGGATTGAATCCTTTTGTCAAGGTTGGCTGGAGAGCAGAAGGCTCTGTTAATCTGCAGGCACTGCGGCTTCCTCCTGGCTTCCTTCCCTTGCAGTTTGTTTTACTTCAGGATTCACCCCCTGGGACTGTAAAGGCTGCAGATGAGGGTTAGAGGTGAAACAAAGAAAATGAGGTTGGGTGTTTATTTAGAGGGAGACAGAATTCATAATGTTGGAGACACTGGGCCCCTCCCAAGAGATAATCGTAATTTACCAGCGCCTCTCCACCACTTGTTTTTCCTCAGAAATAAAACACAGTGACAGATCCAAAATACTACTTCCCTAAGTAGCTCCTAGAACCAAAACAAGGAAGAGGGTTTTTTTCTGCACAGTGACCAGACACTGGAACAATACAAATATGCTTCCAGTGATGTCCATGTGGGAAAGTACCTGAAAAAAAGAAATAAAAGCAACTTTGCCTCCTTCCGAGACTTTATTTTTTAGTCACTCAACTTGTGCCTGATGTTTTTTCTTGGTAGATTGCCTTCTTATCGCTCCCCCTTTTTAATGAGAAGGCCAAATTTAGCTTCCATTTATTCACTGTGGAACCCCACCGACTGGTAGCTAAGGCACATCCCATCTCACACAGGCAGCCTGGTGATATATTTTCCCTTCTTCATACCTTGTTTTAATTATCACAAGAGCAGCAATAGACGGTGCAAATGCATCCACTACATCTAAGAAAAAAAAAAATCTTGCTCTTTTCCCAGGCTTTTTTTGGTGTTTGGCCTCTAGGGCATCATCCATTTGCAATGAGATCGCGGGATTTACAACAGAGCAAGTGGTTGTACAACAAAAACTGGATTCCGGGGTCCTGATAAGGGAAGACAAGCGTCCTGCGAGAGAGCCTGACCAGTCACCCCAGGGCTAATCTGGTTGAATCAGCTGACGTCAGGGGTTTTATGCTTAACACACACCGGGGTGAAAAATGAGAGTGGCGCTCAGCGCCGGCAGCGCAGCCCCGGCGCTCCGCTACCAGGAGCGGCTGCTTGCTTTCAAGCTCTCCGCACAGCCTGTAATCACTCAATATTGAAACCAGATTTACAAGCTCTTTAGAGGAGAAGTTTGTGATTTCCAAAGCAGACGCATTTGGTATTTCAGAGAAAGGTCAAGCCCCCTGTGGAGTAAGGGGTTTTTAATAGAATCAGTTCAGCAGGAGTTAAGAGGAGACATACCAACCCAGCGGCTCGCAAAGCCAGGAGCGGCGGAGACACGAGAAAAGCTACAGCCATTATTGTTGTGAGGAAAGAATCAGAGAAAAGAGCGAGGCACGGGGTACGCCAAACTAAAATTTGGACATTTGATTTCATTTATTCCAATCTGAGACTTTCTCAGCTGGAAATAGAGGGCTGTCCTTTCGCTCCCAGGCTTGCAGGGGTTTCAAAGAAAGGAGTGCTTGTTATTGTCTGCAGGGGAAACGTGAGAGTGCTTAGCACAATGGCAAATCCAGGCTCTTAACTCAGATGCATTTAAATGGATAGCCTTCGATTACTGTCTCACCTCGTCAGCCTCCAGCCCCTGGCCAGGCTCTTCAGCTATTAATACTTGTTGCCTGCCTCACTAGGTTGAAGTGATGGTCTAGGACTGCTTTGCTTCATGCAGATACAGCACCCGCAGCCGGGAAGCCCAGGGAACATCACTAAGGACCCTCCTTGTCACAGGAGTTTCTAAATAGCGCTGGGGCCTGCAGGCTATATTCGCAGGCACTGCAGAAATACCGGCGATGAAGCTTGGTGCCGCCGCCTCCAACGCCCTTTGGACTCTGCAGGCAGTGGTTTCAGTGAAAAGATTTGGGGCTCATTCCATAACTCACATAGCTGCTGCCAGACAGACACCAGAGCTCATAACACAACTTCCTGAGTATAAAGGCTTTAAAATAAATTGGAAATCCAGATTTCATACTGTCCTGGTTTTGGTTGGGATAGAGTTAATTTTCTTCTTAGAAGCAAGCTTAGAAAACTCATAGCCCAGGAACTCCTAGGCCATATCAGCTACCACGTAACTCTAAGTGCCACAGCAGGTAACAGAGCCCCAGGAGATGGCAGCTGCTAACCCCGGCCCCAGCGCTCTGTGGCCCTGCTGCCATGACTGCAGGGGATGGCAAACAAGCTCTTCTTTAAAACATCTCCACAGCAAGGGGCCAATTAGAGCATCCTGGTCTTACTAGCCTTTTAATGGCAAGCATAAATAGGCCCTTATGTATTCAAATCAGCAGCAAACGAGTAGTGAAGGTCACAGGATGCTTAAATGACTATACAATATGCTCCCTCTGATTGCTGGAGAAGGCACTTAAAAGGTTTAGCCATTAGATTTTCTAACTTGTCTAGTCACCGTAACTACTGGTGCAGCCACAGACGGTATTCCAGGTTTGTCTCTTTCAGCATCAAGTTCCCAGTCAGCCATTCCCAAAAAAAATACACTTGGCAGAGCAGACAACTGCCCTAGATTTTCAGATCAGTGCAAAGGAAGGGCAGAGCTCTAATAGGAAAGCAGCACTTGGAAAGGTCAGCCAGAAGACCACAGGCCAGATTCCAAGAGAAATTGTGGCCACGTAATTTCTTAAACTTCAGCAGCACAAAGAGGTAAAAATCAGATCTAATTCTCTGCCTTAAAAGCAACTCTCCAGGCACACTGAAGTAGCAAGAAGGGTTAGCAGCTTGAGGTACACAGATGAAACTAATCCTTCTAAACTGCACTTTAATATTGCAAACATGGGCACAGTGGGACCCTGGCATTCCCAAGGCTCTCACTGCACTTGCCCCACGTGAGTATTTAACTGTAGAGGTAAATTTGCAATTTCAGTACCTCCCTTTGCACAGCCAAGTGCCCACCTTATCTCCATCAAGACCCCAACCACATCATTTAAGTGTGCTTTCAGAACGTGAGCCTGTGACTTTGAGGGACAGTTTTCCTTGCTCACATCCCTCTGCATTTCAGCCTGCACACCCCAAAGCAATCTACCACAGCACAGGATCAGAGCATTGCTGCAAGGCTGATGTAACCCCGTGTGTGCCATTCCCTTCTCACTGCAGGCAACAGGGGCACCTCAACTTCACAGGCAGAACAGGAGACAGAAGCACTTCCAGGGCTTCTTAAAACATAGATAAATACTAGACTGGTGCCAGGTTTTGTCTTCTGAAGCAGCATTTTGGATGCTTCTTTCACCATGATGTGGCTTCAGCCTTTTAAGCAAGTATACTTTAATTATTGCAAAGTCTAATATAGCAAGAAAAATAAATACAATAAATTCCTTGAATAATCCAGAGGTTGTTTGTTTTCAGCAACTAAGCATTGAATAAATGAATGATAAAGTGCTGCCAACTAGCAGAAGGAGTAAGAAGCAACTAAGTGCACAAATATTGGCCAGGAAGAAAAGCCACCTATGCAAGAGCAACATAAAGGAGGAGCCAAAGATTAAAGTACAATGTTGTTTCTTTAGTCCCACACAAAACTAGGAGCACATGATACTTAGTTACATGATAGAAGAGCAAGGCAGATGCTTTCCATTGTGCCCAAAGGGGTTATACACAGAAAAAAAACAAACCACCAAACCTAATAGACAGTGCGGTTTTGGGGTTTCCCTCTCCTCCCCAAAGAAATGTTTGGATGTAAAAGGTACAAAAGGAAAACAGATCATAGAAACAAGAACTGTCAGACAAGGGAGGAAAACCAGTGACTCCTAATTCTTCATATCTTTCTTACACATTTTGCACAGAGGAAGTCTTTCTTCATTAACAGAGGAAGAAAGTCATCACACAAAGCCCTGCAAGAATTCACTGAGGTTATGAACAAAATGCAACAGCCAAGAACCAAGGATGTGGATTCACTGCTGCTTGAAGTATAAAACAAAGGTGCCACCTTCGTTCTCAAATAACCACCTAAAGTCCTTCGCAGAGTAGGAAAAGAATCTGCTTTCAGAATGTAATTGCTATGCATTGCATTACCATGTACACCTTGATTTGTTTTCTACTGTCATCCACTGCCTGCAGAGAAAACCCATTTTCCAAAACAGAAATCACAAGCAAGTTTCAGAGAAAATATATATATTTTAAAAAATCTTTACAATAAGTCAGGAAACATAGGAGCTTGCATACAGTTTATTATAATAATTCAGTTCTCAGCTCCCTACAGTTCAGATAACCCTGGTGACAGTGTTTACAACTTCTAACTTTTGCTTTCACAATTCTGAAGCAAACAATACATTTGAGTGTATTTTACTCTGTGCAAATAAGACAACTTTTGGAATCCTTCAGAAGAAATATCCAAGATTCTGTTTGCAGAGGTCCTTTGTTTCTCAAAGATGATTTATGAGAGTTTTTGTTTTAAGATAAAGTGCTCCTGTCCAGCAGAACCCAAAGGCCTTCAAGAGTCCAGAGAGTAAGTTTAGCTCAGATTAAAAAATAATTGGTCATACAAATTCCAGCTTCCCATGTCCGCTGTACATTCCCCAGTGGACTAGTGAAAGAATTTTATCATTGCTGAGGTCTGAATGTCTCATTTTATCACAGGTCATGCAGCAGTTCTCGTGACCAGTCACAGGCACCATGCATTCCAAGTCCAATTTTGCCACCTGCCCTTTTTTCGAATGATGTCCGTGAAAGCTGTAGTGCAAACGAGAGAGCATTTGCTGTCGCTGATCTTGCAGTCTTTTGTTTTCACTCCTGAGCATCCTCAAGGCCAGCATGATGAGGAGCACCAAGATGAGCCCACCAGCTATTGGAACAGCAATTACAGCTGCCCTGAACCATAACTCTTTTGAAGAAGTCAATTCTTGCACCTTGGTGATGAGATTCCTGCTGCTGTCGTGTTGATATCTGCTCCCTTGTCCTGCAAAGGGGAAAGATGTGAAGCTTATTTCAGGATTTATATATACACTGATTTATATATAAGCACCTCCCTTAAATCACACACTGACAAGTTTAAGGAGCAACTGCTACACACTGCAATATCTACAGAAAATACTCCTGTAAAGAAAAAAATTAGTTTCTAAGTCTGCTTATAACATAGAATTTCTTACCCAATAGCCAGTTTAACTAGGAACACCACTGCCACTGACTCTTACACATCATTTCAAGATGGCAAGAGAAACTTCCATTATTAATACAGACAAAAAACCTAACTGGCTGAGATGTTCTCCTGCATCCAGCCACCTGCTTCTCCCTCTGGTGTCTCTACTTACATCAACAACTACATCAATAACAGCAGATGCACAAGGTTTTGACTGCAGCTGGCCTGATGGCCAGAAGAGGGGTTTCACTGAAGCTTTATTGCCCTACCTGAAGCATCGCCCCTGGAAGGAGACAAAACATCATGCAGTCCTCTGTAATTGCACATATCTTCATGGCAGCATTCCAACGTGGACATGGTGGTGGTGCCAGAGTGGTTTTGTGCTTGTTTGGCTTGGCAGATCTCAGCAGTGCTTGCAATAGAGTCCAAGCAGCCATGAGTAAGTGGGGAATGTGTATTCTGAGGATCAAGCAGTCTGGAGAAGCAGGCACTAAGCTCGGATTTGCACATATAGCCAGTTGCAACACAGTGTGCAGCATCACAGTAGCATCTGATTTCACCTAAAAAACAAAAATTGGGCAAGAAAAATAAGAATTTGGTTCTCTAAGAACACCTCACCATATATCCTTATTAGCCACATGCATCACACAAACTCATACCAGTTTTGAGGTACTTCTTTAGGCTGTAGAGCCACAAGAGCTGGGGTTGCTCCCTTCCCATCACTGTACAGCGTTGAAACCTTGATCCTTGTAAACGCCTTGGGGCACTTGCTTTAATGACTAGTACTACAGTCCTTTGAATTAAAGGGAGAGCATTTCACTGAAACAGGGACTGGGGAGGGCTTGGGTGGAGGGGGGAAGATCACAGTGGCTTTTTTTTTTCCCAAGGTAAATAACTAACAAGACTATTTTATAGCTACTTCCACTCGCTGTCAGCAGTTGCCTTTAACCACATTTAAAGTGAAATACCAGTTCTAACAACACACACTTTCAGTCCTGGAAGAAAGTCATATCTATGTTTTTAACCATTACTCCAGGAACATATTCTATTTTTATAAAATAATGTTTCTTTTAATTGCACATAAGCACACAACAAAAATACCAGGCTTAAATATTTACGTGACAAATGAAAAAGAGAAACTCGGAACTGCTGAATTGTTTATTTCCTCTCAATACTGCCCCAAAATTTAAAAGGTTTAACTAACACCTTATAAAGCTATTAGCTAGAACCATTACCATCTAAGTCTCTCTGTCAGGAAGGTTTTACTGTGTGAAATTGAGCAACTATTTCTAAATTTCTAGAGAAAGAAAATCTTTAACTAGTTCTTCATGCAAAATGACTTTTTAATATTATAGAACAAAAAAGTTCCAGTTTATAATTATTCTGCTCACCAGAGACAATGACTCTCAACTCAAATGTGAAGATTTTTAACGGAGTGAAACTGCAAGGCTAAAGGCTCCCCGTTGCCTCTCCCCACTTTCACATGCAATCCAATATGCAGTAGAAAAGAGGAAACACTTAAGACTGAAAATCCTCTACCGGCTCTACGAAAACTATCAGGAAACCTCAAAAATTTCTGAAGGAAGCGATAAAAAAAGTTCCCTTCATAAAATTCTTCATGTTGTGCTCTCCAAACTGCTCTGGTATGAATTAAACATGTCCTGTGCTGCAGCAAAAACTTACTCTTTCCAGGCAAATTGCAACTCCAACATAATTCAGTGTGCCATCGAGCCAAGGTTTAAGAGGAAGGCAGATTCTGGAGACATCCTTGGAAGAGGTCTCCAAAATGGACTTAAAACTACTTCTGGTGTGCCTACTGAACTTGCCACCACAGTAGCACCGAGGCTTTCAAAGCTCGGTGACTGAACAGTCATTTGTCTTCCTCCTACAGTCTGCACTGCAAAAAAATCAATCGACAGGCTTTTCTGCTGTCACCCCTTCTTATGATGTTACCTACTACCTATACCTAAAAAAACAAAACCCCAACTGTTGCGCAAGACGTTAAAAAAAAAAAATCATCCCAAACAAGTTACCTTCCTCTCGTCAGGCTACCTTAATAGTTTCCCCAAAATGCTACTGCAGCCTCCAGGCCTTGAAGTTCCCGCTGCTCTTTAATAACTCTGCTTAATAGAAGCCAAATGATGGAGTGTCTCACTGTCTCCAGTCCAATTCCCTTGGGGTTTCAGACCAACTAACCTAATTTTTCATGAATTCACACTCACTGCCATCCAGCATGTTACAGAAAAAAAGACTCAATCATTTTCTAAGCATTCTATACGAGGTCTCCCCCCTACCCCTCTGAAAAAATAGTTCTCATAATTTCTGCACTGTTAAATTTAAGATGCAAACATGGCTCAGTACCAGAGCTGACAGTTCTTTCATGAGTCTCAGCACGGTACGGAAATAAAGAGAAACAATACACATACTTTCATTTCAACTGCTTTTACAATCACGTTCAAAAATCTATATTTTATTGCCTTAAGACAATCTTACAAACAAAATCTGACAGGCTAGTCATCAGGTTAATTCAACTGCTTTTTAATTAAAACCACGTTTTCAGTGAAACAAAATGGACTTTGTATTACTGTATTTCTGTCAATTCATAAAGTTTCTTCCTGTGCTATGCAAAAGGCCAGAAAGGGTATTTAGTATTTTGAAACAGTGAACAATGCCCTTCTGTTCCCTCCTCTTTCTTGTTACTGTATGTAGCTATTAAAGAAAAATGTCTGCTTTTAGTCAAGATGGCTACAGGAGAGACTGCAGACTTCTCTTAAAGCTTTTGAAGTCAACAGCAGCCAGAAGTCTGTGATCCCCTAATTATATCATTATCAGGCACATAGTTTCAGTATCTGCGACTTCACATCACTCAGTCACTCCCTGTTCTGCCCGCTTTGATGGGGCCAGCAGGCTCCCCCCTGCACGCTGCAAGGCTGTTATTTAGGGTTAATTACAGCCTTCCTTCCAAAATAAATAAATACCGTCGCACATCACCACCACGCTAACTTATCCTTTACCCTCCTCCCCGGAGCACGACGATTACCGGCAGCCAGCGGGTCGCCTCTGCCCCCGAGGGCGCTCCCCGGGCGGCCAGACCACAGACCACAGCCCCCAGTGCCTCCACAGAGCACAGACCCCAAAGCTCACAGCACCCAGAGAGCACAGAGCCCCCAGAACCCCTAAAGAGCACAGAGCCCCCACAG